ATTGATAGATAGATAGATAGATAGATAGATAGATAGATAGATAGATAGATAGATAGATAGATAGATAGATAGATAGGAGACATTTAAGCCATTATTTACTGAAAATCATCCCCTTTGCTGAATCTCTACAGGTTTAGAATGACATGAGTGTAAGTAAATGATGACAGAATTATTATTTTTGGGTGAACCATCCTTTTAAATCATTCTCATACAGTACTTTTTATTTTATTTTATCAAAGCATTCATTATACTGTAAAAGCAATACTCATAAAGGATGCCGTTGTGAGTGTCCATGGTTAAAATGCATTATGAAAATGGCTCCGGCACTACACCGGAGTGATTTTATGCTTCTGGAGTAGCATATAAAATGCAGTCACCTGTGTGGAAGCGGAGGTCACAGACATGTTATCAGGAGTGACAGTGATGTCGACACACTGTTTCAGCTCCGTACTGAAGTGAAGCGGCTCGGCCCACTTCTCGCAGGCTTCCTTTCTGGAGCACCTGGAAACAAACAAACAAACAAACCAACGGATGAGTAAACAGAAACATCCCGGTCCGCACAATAGCCTGCAGTTGGCGGCGCTGACTTGATAAGGCGTTTGCAGAGAGCAGCGGCCTGTCTCGTTCAAGCTTCAGTGAGCATGATTGTCCTTTTCCCTGTCTACTCAGACCAATGCATGTCAAATATCCACAGTCCCGCAAATGGATCAACAATACAAAATGCTTTTGATATTGCCGATATGGAGCTCCATGAATGGACTCATATACCATGCAATGGCAGAAATGTGTCGATCTATATCTGTGCGTGAGAGCTCAGGGCTGCGGTTATTTTATTTACGAATGATAATGACAAGTAATGTGACTTGTCCCAAATAATGGGGGAAAACTTTGTTTTGAAATGTTGAAACCTTATAGAATGAATACCGCTGCATTGATATCTAATTGAATTGTGTGTGCATATCACTTCAAATATGGCTTATCCAATCACATTTTAGAGTCAGAACCATATTTTTATACTGTTTTGAGTGCCTTTGTTTAACTTTGATTGTTATAATGTAAGGCTTGCCAATAATTTACAATTAATCTGATTTAGTTTCCAAATACGTTCCCAAAATACATTTTTAAAAATTGCAAATGGCAGATTTAATTATCCAGATTATCCAAAAATATTTAAGCCATTTTTAATTCAATTCACAGTAGATATAAACATATATAATGCTATACGCAGTTTCCACAATAAAAAAAAATCCAGTAAAGCTTTACATCAAGGTTCAATTCACTAACTTTAGCAAATGCACCAGACAATGAACAACATTTTAAAATTTAATAACAGGTTAATGTTCATTTCTATTTTTTTATTAATTATATTTGATTTATTAGTACATTTTTAACATTGTGTTAATGTATTATGATTAAACATGAGTAAATAAACAATGATAAATATAAATTAATATAATGGATATATAAATGTAATATAATACAGAAATATAAGTATTAAATCTAATCTTAATATAACAATAAACAAAACATTTTTATACGGATTAATTTCGAAATTTTAGAATAACAATAAATGTGAAATAATATAAATAAATATAAAATAATTGATATTGATTAATTTTATATTAATTTGTAATATTTAAATATTTATAGATTTATTATATTGATTTATATTTACTGTATATTTACTCAATTCAAAATAGTTTGCTCATAATTCATTACCATTGTTGAAAATGTAATAAACAGATTAATACAAAATAATAATAACGTTAAATTGCATTAAGAAATTTTGTAATATTGTTTTTAACTGATAGTTTGTGATTCCTAATGCAGTAGATAATGATAATGAATTCCATACTAATGTAAAGTATTACCTCTTAAAAGTGGCCTGCTTTCCTCATAAGTACATCTGCAGGGAAGCTTCCAGATATGAAAGCATTCATAAAACTTGCATGTTCGTTAGACGAGTTAAGTGGAGTTAAAGTCTCCAGTGCTTGTGTTAGACCGCGAGCGAGGAGGGTTATGATAATGTACACAAAGCCTCATCATAACCTGACCCAGATCATCTATTATAACAATGTTTGCTCCACCATTCGTGACACGGCGCATTAAAATACACCAACCCCGCTCAAAATCAAGTCATATTTTAGCGACTTCGGCCCTAAACGCGGCTATTGTTGATTACTGTTATATGTCAGCAGCGAGAAGTACAGTATAAACTGATAATGCATAACGAGGCTCACTAAATTAAATGCGCTTTCATTTTGAGGCCACTCTGGAGAGACTCTAATGAAAAACACACACGGAGGAGAGATCGAGAACAAGCCTGTAAAAGCGCAGCATCAAACACCTCAAAACTAGACACATAGAAGGGGGGGGGGGGGAAGCTAAATATTTGCCAAAAGCCCAGGTATCTAATTCATCACGATGTCTAAGATGGCATTATTTTCCATCAGCGACAGCAAAACGCAGCATTTTTACCTCCGGCGCGCCTGTCTGTCTGGGAAATGAAGCAAGCGCAGTCGATACTGACAACGCCATTATTCACCAGCAATGCACACAGCAGTAATGATTTGTTTTCCCTTAATTATGCCCATATGTCTAAGGAAAGAAAAAAGAAACGGGAGCAGTCTTAATTAAAGAGATAGAGAAGGATATCTCTCAGTACATGCACCTTCAAGGCCTTCCTGCTCCTTTTTGCTTTCGTTTTTCACCCTTTCCTGCGTTCGCGAAATGAGTTTTTGTCCAATTAAACTGCACTTGTTTTTCTGGTGAACTGGAACTAATGTGATTTATGAGACATCGCCACTTTTACCAGGTAGGGTGGTCCTGAGGTGCTTCCCATGACACAAATACCCAGGTGACAACAATACAACGTCCCGCCAGAATGTTTCCTTGAAGACCGTATTGATCCCTTCTCGACGCGCAGCATGTACAGCAAGCGAATCTGGGACAGGCACTCAACAAGGGCTGTAAATCGCCCATGACAGGAAGCATACAGTGAAACAATGCTCGGTGTAAGCAAGCAGTCGTTTAGCGTATGCTTTTGTTCAAAGTGACTTGTGGAACATGGTACAGGGACAAACACTCTGGAGCAACTTGTGGTTAAGAGCTTTGCTCAAGTGCACAGCGGTGAGAGTTTGAAACATAGGGATTGAACCAGAGTAACCTTTGGATTATCATTCATCGACACAAAGAAGACTATGTTAAAGTAATAGCTCACCCAAAAATGACCATCATGTCACCCTTATGTTGCTTCAAACTCATGTTTTAGGTTTTAGTAATTGCATTACATTTGTTTATTTAACTTTAATGTTTTGCAATAAATAAATAAAATGCATTAGTTTTGTATAAATATTTATTATAAATACTAAAAATATTCATTTACATTTATTCCTTCTTTTGGAGGAATACAAAAATAAAAAAAAACTACTGAAAATATTACTATTGTCAAGCCTGGTTCAATGCATCTTGACACCCCAAGTTCACACATCTTGACATTTCACATTTATTGATTTATTATAAATGTCTTGCATGAATGCATGAATGAATGAATGCATGCATGCATGAATGAAGCGTCACATTGAAGTTGATTCATATTCTATAAACACTTACTTATATATTTACTTATTTACTCTTTTAAATTAATTTACATCTACTCTGAGGAACACAAAGATATTACAAATAAAATAAATCTGAGTTGCTCTTTTTCATTTAATGAAAGCACCAAAAAAGACATCATATTTGGTCCACACGGCTTATCGTTTTTCACTGAAAAATTCATTTTGCACATCCACATATTTAAACTAGAAGATTTATGAAAATTAATGATGTTTGATCAATATTGTCAAGCCTGGCACAGTGCGTCTTGTTTGCACCAAGTCTGAATATGTGCATGCATGAATTACACATTTCACATTTATTCATTTGTCATAAATGTCTTGCATAAATAAACAAACAAACATACTTTAGTGTAAAATTTAGCTGATTTACATATACATTCATTTACACTTACTCCGAGGAACACTAAATAATATTAGAAAGAACAAAACAAATCTGAGCTGCTCTTTTTCATATAATAAAACCACAAAAATTGGTCCATTTGACTGGTTCACGGCTGTTTTTCACTGAAAATCTCATTTGCACATGCATATATTTAAACTGACATTTGCAGTCATTGACGTCAAACCTGGTGCAATGCCTCCCGACACACCAAGTCTTAATAGGTGCGTGCACAAATGACACGTTTCACATTTATTCATTTATGAAACACATCCAACATGATTCACAGGAGTCAATGCGTCTTGTTTGCACCAAGTCTGAATATGTGCATGCATGAATTACACATTTATTCATTTGTCATAAATGTCTTGCATAAATAAACAAACAAACATACTTTAGTGTAAAATTTAGCTGATTTACATATACATTCATTTACACTTACTCCGAGGAACACTAAATAATATTAGAAAGAACAAAACAAATCTGAGCTGCTCTTTTTCATATAATAAAACCACAAAAATTGGTCCATTTGACTGGTTCACGGCTGTTTTTCACTGAAAATCTCATTTGCACATGCATATATTTAAACTGACATTTGCAGTCATTGACGTCAAACCTGGTGCAATGCCTCCCGACACACCAAGTCTTAATAGGTGCGTGCACAAATGACACGTTTCACATTTATTCATTTATGAAACACATCCAACATGATTCACAGGAGTCATTCAGCAACAAGTGAATAAGATTGAGACTGGTCTGTTTATCACACTAAGCTTCAGAAGAGTCCCGTGGGCTACTTTAATAGTGCTTTTTGTCATTTCTTTTCCTGTATGTAAAACAGCTGCTTGGAGGCTCTTCAAAATACCTCCATCTGGTCTTCCACAGTGGAAAGTGGGTTTGCATTTTTGGTTGAACTAAGACTTGAAACTTTACCTAAAGTCCAAGTTCCACTCATTTTGTCCTTCTATGACCCCTTTCTTCTCGTCTCTGCATCTGAACTAGTTTGAGGAGCGATTGTGCAACTGATCTCGTTTGAACTGACTCATTTCTCCCCAACTGAGAGCTTCACTCTCTGAGTACCAGCTTAGCTATTCCAATTTCGAAGAAATCTATTACGCTTCCATATTCGGTGTTCTTCTTACGAGGATAAATCCAGGATGGTTTCCACCGGTCTCCCCTCATTCCAATCCAAGTAATATTGCTTTATTATTTCTAAGGTCACATTGAACCCTGTGTAAATGAAGAACTAGGGCAGAAACAGGATGAAAACTCCAGTGGCCTTTCATGATGGAGAACTCCAATAGCGGCGGTCTGAGGTGACTGGGTGGACAGATTGTTAAGATCGAGTGAAGGGTGAAAGACGGGGAGAGAGAAATCGATGGCGTGCATTAATTGATGTACGTAAAGGACTAAGTGCTCTGAGAGTCTCCGGGTCAATTGTGTCTTTGACTGATTAGTGAGAGGAACAATGGGAGAAGCGTCCACCTGTTTGAGGGAGGACT